ATTACATTTTAACTTATATCAAGCATTTCTTGTATTATACTGCTTTGTTGCACGAAAATTATTTTCTAATACTTTTTATATTTCATGTTCATTTTCAAGTATATTACATTTTAACTTATATCAAGCATTTCTTGTATTATACTGCTTTGATGCACGACAATTATTTTCTAATAATTTTTATATTTCATGTTCATTTTCAAGTATATTACACTTTAACTTATATCAAGCATTTCTTGTATTATACTGCTTTGGTGCACGACAATTGTTTGCTAATACTTTTTATATTTCATATTTATTTTCAATTATATTACATTTTAATTTATATCAAGCATTTCTTGTATTATACTGCTTTGATGCACGACAATTATTTTCTAATAATTTTTATATTTCATGTTCATTTTCAAGTATATTACATTTTACTTTAAACACAAAAAGAGCATTCATCAAAATTATTGTATAACACAATTTAATCTTGTAATTTTAACAAAAAGTAACATTAATAAGTGATGATATCAAAGGGGTTGCAATTAGAAACGATCAATTAGCAACAACAAATAATTCGTAGCCTTCGTTATAAATCAGAAAAATGATTACGAAATCCTGCATTTAACAACAGCAGAGAGCGTAGAGGAAATATTCCGTGGTGTGATGTAACAATTCCGCGTGGCTATTAATTTTAACCGAGCATACATCACTGGTTGTTACGACTTCCCTTTCCAAGCCCTTCCGGAAGTAATTGCAATCGTTAGAATTCCATTTCCCTCGAGGAAAATTCTGTATACCGATACCGTTTCTGTTGTGTTTGGCACATTGCGAATGAAATCGTTAGCATACACACGCGTTTACAATTACGATGCAGAACGACGGAACGTTCGGTTTGCCGCGCCCTATGTGTGTTACGTGTCTTGATACGAAATTGCGTTTACATTCGAATGTCAAATCGAAGGGTGAAAGCAAAAAATGTTTCTCTTTTCGAATTTTTAGAAAATATTTTTGGTGCAAAATGAAAACTCGTGAGTAAAAAATAATGATTTAGTATAAACTGCAAGTTAAATATCAATTTTTTGAAGAGATTTTTAAAATTCATTATTAATTTGATTTTGAGTATTAAATATCAAGTTTAATTTAATTTTGAAGTGTTAAATCAATGAACAGGAATAAATACTTCTCTTTTTGAATTTTTAGAAAATATTTTAGGAGTAAAAAATTAAATGTTTATTTTGAAGAAATTTTAATAATAAAAGTTTGAAAATAAAATTGAAATATATGGATGTAAAAATGGTGTAAAAATAAGATGTTATGGGAAGACATGGACAAGTTAATTAATGATTGAGAGACATAGAGAATTGGGGATTTAGAAATTTGAAAATATGAATGTGGAAGTTCAGAAATTTGGACATTTGAGAATTTGGAACTTTATAATTTAAAAATTTGTGTTTGGTGATTTAAATATTTCAGAATTTGAAAACTGGAAATTTTAAGAAATTCTAGATTGAAAAATTAATAAATTTGTGTACTTGCAAATTTATTAATTGTAAAATTTGAAAATTTGGAAATTTCAAATTGCAAAAATTATGAATTTAAAAATTTCTGAAACAACAAATTTGCAAACTAGAAATTTAGAACTCTAAGGGTTGAAAATTTAATAATTTTATATTTTGAATAACTGAGTATTTAAAAACTAGAAAAATCATAAAATTGAAGATTTCAAAATTCAAAAAATTTCATTTGAAAATTTCGGTATTCAACCTACTCCTAATTTAAAAATTCAAAAACACAATAACTTAAAGTATGAAAATTCAAAAATTGAACTATTCAACCTGTTGCTAACCTAAAACCTTCCATATAAAATTTGAAAATTAAGGAATTCAAGTTAGATTAAATTTCGTACAGCACCAAAATTCCTAAAAACAGTTTCACCTAAATTCGAGCCAACAAAGAATCATCATGGAGTCACGTAGGAATACTGATTAATATTTCGACGCGACGAAAGTAAAAAGAGGAAAAGAAAGGAAGAAAAGAAAGTGATGCCATTATCGCGATCGAACCGTTTTCACACCGATAATTTTACCGCAGAATGAAGCCCGTTTTCACTGAATGCAGCGTTCAACTGGACGAAACAATAGGGCTCAATCGACCCATTTTCATTAACGCGATCGTATTTCATAAATGCTGCATTAGTAAACAGGAAATGAACGGCAGACAAATTCTTTTTTTCTTTACTATATTATTACTAAATAGATATTCAAGAAAAGAGAAACGAGCTCCCGTCAAAATATTCGCAAATATTCGGAGCTCAACTCGTATCTTTGTTTTTTCATTTTAAATATGAAAATTC